TTTTTTTCCCCCACATAATTCAAAATAATAAAAAAAATTTGATGGAAAAAATAATGTGGAATTGAAATCATATCATTAAAAAAAATTATAAACTTCTATAACGTTACATTATGCTGAGACATAAAACTTAGGTATTTTCTTTTATGAAGGTCACAGAAAAGAGAAGAAAAAAATATGAACATCCTGAAATAAACACTTTTTAGTTTGCCCTAAAATGAAGATAAAAATGTGTAATGTTCATATCCGAGCACTCCAGCTTAACATGATCAGCTGCATGTCTGAGTCTGCCTCGAGTCTGCCATTTACATCACAGAGCACTGCTGACACCCAGTGGCTAAAATAACGGGAATTAATATAACGTGAAGGCATTAAATGGCAGTAGTTGGAAAGATTCAATAATACTACTAATAGGCTAAAACTATTATTAATAAAATAATAATAATAATAATAATAATAATAATAATGTGCTTAGTTGCAAAAAATATTACAAGATTATTAAAGTGCAGTAAACAGTAAAATGATTTGCTGTACCTATCATTTTGATTAAAACACCATGACTGAACGAATGTTTTGTACAGGTAAAATGGCGGCTCGCGTGACTACATTCAAAATAAGGCAAATAAACTTACTTTATCGTGCCGACTATACTGCCAACTTTTTTCTGAAAGTGTAGAGAAAGGTACGTCGGTGTAAGCTGTGTGTGCATCTGCCGTCGGTACCGAGCAGTTTCTGTCACCGGTGAGCCGTTGTTGAATAAAAATTGCGCCTAAAAACCGTTTTGGCGGTTAAATCAAATCCTGACGCACCTTCAGGAAATACCTCAAATTTAGTCTATAAGATTGATAACTTCAGCGTCAAAACGGTGAGAAAAATTAATGTTTAATAAATAAAATAAAACTGCCATGAAGCTTTAGCCAGTGGCATATGCTAAATGTTTCCTACTCCATGACGCTTTTCCTGAATTATGGGAGTAACTTCAGTATCTGTTATAATTTCAGTAAGCCTATTTTTGTAATTGTAATATTAATAACATAATATTACCACAGTTATTCATTACCACAGCAACAATATAAACACTACAATTGTTTAATTCAAGTAATTATCTATAGTATGCTTCCAAACACCACAGTATTTACAAAAGTGTTCTTCATGTAACACAATTACACAGCAAGTAGCCTTCTCAATGACAAAAAACATATTTAAAAATGAGTTGAAATATCATATTTATTTATAAAACACTCACTGGCCAGGAACACACAAGTATGATGACAATATAACACCAGACAAAGTGTTTAACTGAACTGAAGGGGTATAAATACACAAGACGTGATTAAACTGATTATAAGCAGGGGTGCGACACAGGTGGAACTGATGAAACTAATGAGTGGCGGGAAAACTCAACAAAGGAATCACGTGACAACAGAAAGCACATGGATGGAGCGCATGACAGGTAAACAAAAGGATTGTGACTATAACACTCACATTTATTTTTATTTACATTTTAGGGGAAAGATGGTCATGTGGTTGGAGATGCAACCAGATGCATTTAGACCTGTCTGGTTTCATCTGGTTTGAGCAATTAGATTAATATGCATATCATAGGGCCTTTAGAGATAGATCTGATCTTATCAGAACAAAATGCATGAAGTGGCCAGATGTAAACAGCCACATATTGACATCTACATCAACAATGCAGCATTTAAATGTAAAAAAAAGTGTCAAATATCCTGGACATTTCTAAAAGAACAGCTATGATCTACTTTGGTTTGGATGGTGAACATCTCTGTGCTGCATTAACATCTATATTTTTAATGAAACCATTCATTCATTCATTTTCTTGTCGGCTTAGTCTATTTATTAATCCGGAGTTGCCACAGCGGAATGAACCGCCAACTCATCCAGCATGTTTTTACACAGCGGATGCCCTTCCAGCTGCAACCCATCTCTGGGAAACATCCACACACACAGTCATACACTATGGAAAATTTAGCCTACCCAATTCACCTGTACCGCATGTCTTTGAACTGTGGGGGAAACCGGAGCACCCGGAGGAAACCCACACGAACGGAGGGAGAACATGCAAACTCCTCACAGAAACGCCAACTGAGCCGAGGTTCAAACCAGTGACCCAGTGACCTTTATGCTGTGAGGCGACAGCACTACCTACTGCGTCACTATGTCGCCTAATGATATCACATTTTGAATACTGTTGGTTGTTGGTTCATCTTGTTAATACTGTTGGCTGATCTTACATCAGTGATTTGCCAGCAAATACTGAGCAAGTAAAGCTATTTACGCTAACTAAAGAAGTCATAAATGGCGTATAGATCATGAATAACGGGAAAGCCCACTCACACTGTCTTTGTATAGGGCCATGAATGTAGACAATGTGCCTAATTAAAGGTGATGTATCTCTGTTATAAATGCTGCCATTTGATAATAATTTAACATTCACTTTTTATCATTCAACAGTCAACAACCAGTCCAAAAATAATAATAATTCAATAAAGACAAACATCCCAAAGTGTCATCTACTGTGTTGCATTAGCACTGTTCTATCTGACGTAATATAATCTATAACACTCTCTCACATGTTTAGTTTTTACATTTTGAGAAGAGTAAGACGTACATATGTGATTTCAACAACTAAATGCATTTAGACCAGTTCAGTTTTATTTGTAAAATGTCCCAGAACACATCCCAAATGCATTCATAGTGCATTCACACCTGTCCTTTTCACCATCAGATATCTATCCAATCAGAACAAAATGCCTGAAGTGACTACACTATCTGACACAAGTCTTGTCGCCTATCCAAGTTTTAGGAACAGCAAATAATATCTTCACTTCTAGTTGATCATATGAAAGGCCTCTAGATGATGCTTATTTGACTAAAATAAAATCTGATCATGCCTTAATCTTGAATGATTTGATGAGGACAGTGCGGTCTGACTCTGCTCAGACTAAAGTGTCATCACTGAACAGAAATAATGTCCAGGATAGAATATAAAGTCCTGCTGCAGTGGAGACAGAATGAATATTGTGTCTGACTCCATCATGAGCTTGGAGGACTGCATCCATACATCTCTGACATGCCTCACATCACTGATTAATAAAGTCATCTGGAATGAAGAAGAAAGCCTTCAGCAGGACTCCCAGAGTTCATCAAGAGTCTGTGTGTTCATCTTCAACGCCTCCTCCTTCATCAGCTCAATAATGTTGATGTCTGGTGACTGGGCTGGCCAATCCTGGGGCAGCTTGAGCTTCTCTGCTTTCAGGAGCTTTGATGTGAAGGCTGAAGTATGAGAAGGAGCGCTATCCTGCTGGAGAATTGTCCCTCTCCTGTGGTTTGTAATGTAATGGGCAGCACAAATGTCTTGATACCTCAGGCTGCTGATGTTGATCATCCACTCTGCAGATCTCTCCATACTGAATATACCCCAAACCATGATTTCTCCTTCACCAAACTTGACTGATTTCTGTGAGAATCTTGGTCCATGCTGGTTCCAGTAGATCTTCTGCAGTATTGGTGATGATTGGGATGCAGATCAACAGATGATCCAGCAGAGAAATCCACCTTCTGACACTTCTACACACGATCAATAGAGGTTAAGTTATTATTTGTTGCTCTTACAACTGAGATCCATGACAAGACTTCTGTCAGGTAGTGTAGGTGTAAACAGTCCCTATATTGACAGCTACATAAACAATGCAGCAATTTAATTGCAGAAGGAAAAAAAGTCTCTCAGTTTATTTATCGACTGGTCAAAAATAGAATGAAACAAAAATATTAAATAAAATGAAACAAACATCCAACACAGGCTCATTCTGAAAACGTAGCCCTGTATACATTTCTGGAGATTGTGAATTATGTAGCCTGACATACGTATATTGCTCTCCAGAAATGTATATAGGGGGTATGTTTTCAGATTGAGCCTGGGTTGCAAACATCCCAAAGTGTCATCTGTGGCATTGCATTGTGTTGTGTTAACACATAATGTAATCTATAACACACTCTCACATGTTTAGTTTCTACATTTTAAGAAGAGTAAGACATACATATGTACATACGGGACATCTGTAATGTGCCCCAGATCACCTCCTGAAGTAATTTGAGCAGTTGCATTTATATCCATCCCAAATGCATTTCATAGGGCAATTACGTATCAGAAAGAAGTGCATGAAGTGACCGGGTGTAAACAGCTCCATACATCACATTTACATTTACATTTAGTCATTTAGCAGACGCTTTTATCCAAAGCGACTTACAAATGAGGACAAGGAAAAAATTTACACAACCAAGAGCAACAATGAATAAGTGCTATAAGCAAGTTTCAGGTCTGTAAAGTCTAAGAAGGAAAGTATTAGTTGTATTAGTATTTTTGAATTTTTTTTTTTTTGTACAGTTAGTGTGATATTCAGAGAGGCAATTACAGATTAGGAAGTGAAGTGGAGACTAAATAGTTGAGTTTTTAGTCGTTTCTTGAAAGTAGCAAGTGACTCTGCTGTTCTGATGCAGTTAGGGAGTTCATTCCACCAACTGGGCAGATTGAGCGTGAGCGTTCGCGAAAGTGATTTCTTCCCCCTTTGGGATGGAACCACGAGGCGACGTTCATTCACAGAACGCAAGTTTCTGGAGGGCACATAGATCTGCAGAAGCGAGAGCAGATAAGAAGGAGCAAGGCCAGAAGTCACTTTGTAAGCAAACATCAGAGCTTTGAATTTGATGCGAGCAGCAACTGGCAGCCAGTGCAAACGGAGTAGCAGCGGAGTAACATGTGCTCTTTTAGGTTCATTGAAGACCACTCGTGCTGCTGCATTCTGGAGCAGTTGAAGAGGCTTGATAGAGTTAGCTGGAAGCCCAGCTAGTAGAGAGTTACAGTAATCCAGTTTGGAGAGAACAAGAGCTTGAACAAGGAGTTGAGCTGCATGTTCAGATAAGAAGGGTCGGATCTTTCTGATGTTATAGAGTGTGAATCTGCACGATCGAGCAGTTCTAGAGATGTGGTCAGAGAAGTTTAGTTGGTCATCAATCGTTACTCCAAGGCTTTTCACCATTTTGGATGCAGTAATGCAGTAACATCACCAATGCAGCATTTCAATTGCAAAAAAGTCTCTCAGTTTAGTTTAAGGCGATCGCAATTATATCCATCCCAATGCATTTCGTAGGGCATTCACATCTGTCCTAACTATGCAAAATGGCCCCATATTGACATGTACATCAACAATGCAGTGCTAAAATTTAAGAAAAAAAATCTCTCAGTATAAAAACGTGACAAATATCCTGGACATCTCCAAAAGCCCACTGCGAGACATGAAAATCTCCGGAAAGGACATCATGCCGCTGTGATCTACTTTGGTTTGGACGGTGTAGGACTTCAGCTCTGTCTTGCCGGTCAGCACAGAGGTATGAATGACCGCGATCCTGGCCTCCTCGTGATATGGAGCATCCCTGTCCTTCCCTATTACAAAATCATAACTCTGTTCAGGCTTCCGGAAGGGGTACGTGATGGTGAACGTCTCCAAACGCTGCACTGTGAAGTACTCAGACAGGACGGGCTGCTCAGCAGGAGGTTTGCACTGAACCAGCGACAAATGCCGGACTTCAGAATTGTTCAGGAACAGGGCCACATTCAGAGGCGATGTATACCAAACCGTCAGACGCTTCTTCTGGACGGGACTGGGTTTTGGGGTTTTCTGCAGCACCTCTGAGTGGTCTCTGCAGTTGCCGAGTTCGCTCGTGTTCATTTTCTCGCAGAAGGCCAGCTCTGTGCACATGTAAACGTTGCTTTCCGTCACGTAAGCCACCTTGAACTCGGAGCGCAGGAGGGCAGGAGCTGCTAGCCACAGTATGCAGGACAGCACTGCCAAACTCATCCCACCGCTCCGGGTCATCTCAGGATTCCTGCATGCAAATACAAGGAATTTATTGTTTTTTGTGTTTCTTTAATATGTAAATGAGCTGCTGCTGCGTCACACCTACTTCCCAGAAAAGGGCGGGGGCTCTTACTTTGGCAAGAACAAACCAAACATCTGCATGCGTTTTAATTAAATCTCCTGATATACAGTTTTCTGAACAGCACGCATGAAATTCTGCACAGAAAGACATCTGTTAGATGGAGACTCGTACGGTGAGCAGATTTCAAAGCAGGTGCAAAAACATTTCTAGCTCACTTAATGAATATTCATCAGTTATTCTTAATACAAGTGCACAATTACGTTTTGTGTCTTTTTATTATTAATTAAAACAGCTCCGTTCAGGCACAAAACAGCAATAATTCAGACCAATATCTAAAAATAGACCTCTAATAATTATTCGAACACAGACCACATTCAGAGGTCTAGCCTAAAACAGGACATAATTCACATTACAAAATAATGTTTGTAGCTTGAAGTCTGCAAAAATACTATAGTAATTTTGGTGATTTTTGAACAATACTATAGGAAAGTCTAATATACTGTATATGCTATAGTATTTACAACACTCCACGTATGCTCCTATAGTATTGACTTTAGTGAACTATACTGTAGTGTACTTTAGTTTTTACTATAGTAAACGGTGGTGTATTGTAGAATAGTATACTTTATAGCTGTGAAACTACAGTATGGGTCCTTTTTATATTACTATAGTTGTTGTTACTGTAGCAACTATAGAATATCCCGGACAGATCAATTACTATAGTTGTGTTACCATAGCAACTTTAGAATGACTACAACAGATTAATTTCTATTGTCAGTGTAACCATGGCAACTATAGAATTACCTCAACAGATCAATTAAAATTTTTGTTACCATAGCAACTAAAAAATTACCACAACAGACTAATTACAGGTTATGTTACCATAGCAACTATAGAATCACCCTAACAGATCGGTTACTAGGACTGTGTTACCATAGCAACTGTAGAATCACCACAACAGATTTTATTACTATAATCGTTTTTTTTTACTATAGCAACTATATAATCAGATTAGTTACTATGGCTGTGTTACCATAGAAACTTTAGAATCACAACAACATATTAATTAGTATGGTTGTGTTACCATAGCAACAATAGTATGGTTGTGTTACTATAGCAACTATAGAATTACCCGAAAGATCAATTACTATGGCTGTGTTACCATAGCAACTATATAATCGCCACAACAGATTAATTACAATATTTATGTTACCAAAGCAACTATAGAATCACCCTAACAGATCAGTTACTATGATTGTGTTACCAAAGCAACTGTAGAATCACCACAACAGATTAATTACTATAATCATTCTTTTACTATAGCAACTATATAATCAGATCAGTTACTATGGTTGTGTTACCATAGCAACAATAGAATCAAAACAACATATCAATTAGTTTGGTTGTGTTACCATAGCAACAATTGAATCACAACAACATATCAATTAGTATGGTTGTGGTAACATTGCAACTATAGAATCATTACAACCGATCAATTACAATAGTTGTTGTTACCATAGAAACCATAGAACCACGCCAACAGATTTTTTTTTATAGTCGATAGGTTACCATAGCAACTATAGAATTACCACAACAGATCAGTTACTGTTGTTGTAGCTTTGTTACCATGGCAACTATAGAATCGCCACAACAGATTAATTACGATAGTCGTTATGTTACCATAGCAACTATAGAATTACCCCAAAAGATCAACTACTTAGATTATTGATATTTTAACACAGAGAATAAGAGCCCTTATGGAAGTCTTCTTAAAAGGCAGTATGATTGTGTAAGGCAGCTCACTAGTGTTCAGAACAGAGCCGGTCTCCTTTTAAATGAAAGATCAGCAGCTTACCAGAACGCTTCAGTGGTGCGTGAAGGAGTTCCAGTGTGTTTGGTTAGTCATCCAATGCCAGATGTAGAGTGGATAATAAAACTTCCCACTGACGCTCTGCCACTCTACCCACTCTCACCAGCGCCATGACTGCCGTCTCAGATTCAGACTGAAAAGAAGAACAACATTGTCCTGGAAAACATGCTGAACACAGTGTGCCAAGTCTATGTAAAATGCTCCACAGTGACTAATCTGTGCTTTTTGAAAGTCATGAAATCTTTCATTCATTTGTTTTCTTTTCGGCTTAGTCTCTTTATTCATCAGGGGTCGCCACAGCGGAATGAACCGCCAATTTATCCAGCATATGTTTCACGCAGCGGATGCCCTTCCAGCTGCAACTCACTACTGGGAAACATCCATAAACTCTCATTTACACTCATACACTACAGACAATTTAGCCTACCCAATTCGCATGTCTTTGGACTGTGGGGCAAACCGGAGCACCTGGAGGAAAAACCCATGCCAACACAGGGAGAACATGCAAACTCCACACAGAAACGCCAACTGACCCAGCCGAGGCTCGAACCAGCGACCTTCTTGCTGTAAGGCGATTGTGCTACCTACTGTGCCACGGTGCTGCCAGTCATGAATCATTATTGGCAATTTAATTGTATATAATAATGCAGTGTTGATTAATTGTGCTTTTTTTTTTTTTTTTTTAAAGCGGATCTATTATATTCTTTTTACTTTTTTGATGTATCTAGAGCAGGGGTGCCCTGCAGTGAAATGTTTTTATTTTTCAAATATTTTCAAATATTTTTCAAATATTTGTTAAGTGGCATTTAACAGAGCAAAACTAATTTTTACAGTATTTTGCATTATTAATTTTCTCTTTGGCTCAATCCTTTTATTAATCACGGGTCGCCACAGCGGAATGAACCGCCTATTTTGCATTATTTTTTTTATTTTTTTTATTTTAGTTTGGTGAAACAAAAGTAGCAATTTTGAGGTCAATATCATCAGCCCCTTTAAGAGATTTTTTTTTTTGAGTAAAAAAAATCATTGTTAACATTGCTTATAACATATAAATAAATAAATAAATAAATAAATAAATAAATAAATAAATAAATAAATATACAATTATAAAAATATAATATAAAATAAAATATAATAAAATATCAATATAATTATAAAATAAATAAATAAATGAAAAATGATTATAAAATAACAAAAATATAATTATATATTTTTATTAAATAAAATGAAACAAAGTATAATTATACCATTTTAAAATATATATAATTCTAAAAATAAATACAAATAAAATAATATAAATAAATGCAACTTTATTTATGTTCTTTTTATGTATAAACTGCTGTGGTCTGTAATATTAGCCTCCTTAAGAAATAATTTTTTAACTGTCTCCAGAACAGACTGCTGTTACAAAATGACTTCCCTAATTACCCTAACTTTACTCTAATTACCCTAGTTAAGCCTTTAAATGTTACTTTAAGCTGAATACTAGTGTCTTAAAGAATATCCAGTCAAATACTATTTACTGTCATCATGACAAAGAGAAAAGAAATCAGTTATTAGTTATTTAAACTTTTATGATTAGAAATGTAAAAAGAAATCCCTCTCCATTAGATAGCATTTGGGAAATTGTTTTGAAATAATTAAAAAATCACATAAGAAAAAAAATGTTCAACTCTAATATTGTTGAACCTGTAAAAAGCAACATAAAAAGTACCAGCAGTTTATTTCCTGGTTTTTGTACCATAATTTACACCAACACGACTAATAAATAACTTTAAACTATTAAAATTGTCAATAAAAACATGAATCACGAATGTCAGAAAACTACTAATTTAAGCATGTTCTTCACAGTGTATGTGGACTGTGTTTATATAAATATACACTTTTTTAAAACAGCAGAAACAAAACATTAGCCATTATATTATTGTACTTTAACAATAAGAACTACTTCTTTCTACGCCACCAAAAGCCAAGCAGAAGCGTTTACCTTTCTCTCAGCTTTCCTCTCCTAACTTCAGACAAGGAGTGTTTTTATGAGCAAAAGTCTCACAAAAATTCCTCAGCTCCACTTCAGCCGAGGCTCTGTTGCTTGCATTGGCAGCGTCTTCCTCCAGAGTCTGAAACTATGCTGAAGTTTTCTTATTATGCAACGAGACGGGCCGGAGGTGACGTGCCGTTAGCAACCACTATTTATCCTGCCTGCTCCAGAAGGCATGCAGCTGTCCTCTATTTTCTGAATAACAGCAGGGTGTGCCTATGAACACTTCATCCTTCAGGCTTTCACCTTCTCAGCCACACACACTTTACATTTATTGTTGCCACTTTTAATAGTTGCATGACTTTGGATGAAGATTCTACACAATGCAGACATTATATTCTCAATTATATTTAATTTTATAATCAATTTTAAAGATTAATTGCATTATTTTGGATTAAGAATATGCATAATAAACGTTATATTTTCAATTATAATCTCTTTTAATGATTAATTACATGATTTTAAATAAAGAATACACAATGCATACATTATATACTCAATTATAATCACTTTTAATGATTAATTGCATTATTTTGGATTAAGAATGTGCAATATAAACGTTATATTTTCAATTATAATCACTTTTAATGATTAATTACATGATTTTAAATAAAGAATACACAATGCATACATTATATACTCAATTATAATCACTTTTAATGAATAATTGCATTATTTTGGATTAAGATTATGCAATATAAACGTTATATTTTCAATTATAATCACTTTTAATGATTATTTGCATGGTTTTGGATTAAGAATGTGCTATGCATACGTTATATTTTTAATTATAATCACTTTTAATGGTTAATTGCATGATTTTGGATAAAGAACATTCAATGCAAACCTCATGTTCTCAATTATAATCCTTTTTAATAGTTAATGGTGTGATTTTGGATGAAGAATGGGCAATGCAAACATTATATTCTTACTTATAATCCCTTTTACCGGTAAGTTGCATTATTTTGGATAAAGATTATGCAATGCAAACTTAATTTTCTCAGTCATAATCACTTTGAATAGTTGCACGACTTTGGGTAAAGAATACACACAATCGACCCATTCATAAGAGTCTCTTTACAATGCTAAAAAGGCTTTCTGGCAGTTTTCCCAATGCTGATTCATTCTTTCCTGTAGTTAATCTGAGGAGGGGAACAAAAACTGTCAAGAGATAGTACTCTACACTGCAGAAACTCCTTATCTGGTCAGGAGTTACACTCGTATTTATTGCCAAAAATATTAGTGATCTTGTTTCAAGAATACAATGAGATCAGATTGTGTTGTTTTAAGATTTCTTTTCTTTTTTTTATTTACGAGGTAAAGTTTAAAGTGAGGTGTTTTACCTGCAAGTTTGCTTAGTTACAATCAGCGTAGGGCTGCATGATATTGTAAAAATCTGATTTTCAGATTTTGACATTTTATTTGTCTGCGATAAATATTGCAATATTGCAATTTCAGAAGATGGTTCAAATAGCTCTGTTTGATAGTTTTCTGGGGAGTCTAACAGTATACAGGTAGAGAAACTGAATAATCACAATGAAAAAATTATTTTCTTACTTTGTTTTGTCATGTTTCTAGTCCAAATATTTAAAAAAATAAAATAAATAAGTGAAAATTAAGAGTTTTTTTTTTTTTTTTTGCTTGTTTTAAGGAAATTATCTGCTCGTGGGGTAAAATAAATAATCTTGTTTTTGCTTTGAAATGTTTATATTTGGGATAGAAACAAGATAAAATTCTAAGTAAGAATGTTTTATTGCAAAAATCATATAAATGCATTATAAATACAGTGATAAATACAATTGTGTAGCTCCTGCTCAACTATAATTCAGACTGGACGTTGCATATCCAGCGATGTGACTATTGCGGATGCGCACATTAAGATATCCATGCTGAACCCATATATTGTGCAGCCCTAAATCAGAGCCATAATTAAAGACCAGTCTTGTGTTTTTAAGATTTTATTTTTCAGCTGTAATGACTAGTTTTGCTCATTCCATCCAACTTTATTACAAGGTAAAAATCTAAAATTAAAATTAAAAACAAATAATCCATTTCATCTAACACAAATAATAGTTTAAGTCTGTAAAACAAATTGTAAAAAACAATGACAAAAAGTCAAGACAACAAATATTTTATGTTGATTTAACTAATTTTAATAAGTTAATCAGGTTATGAACTAATTTTTTTTAAGTTATGCAAAGTTTAACTTCATATTTTTAGGTTGGGAAAACATACTTTTTTCATCTCTTTGACACTTTAACCGACCCTTGCACCAGTTTTTTGCACGTTTACCCAAGACAATTTCTCACAATCCCTCCATATCTATAAATAAAAAAACATTGTGCATTTCTGAGAGCGCCTCACACATGAGTGGGCTTGATAAACCACCTGTAGAAACAATCATTCATTCATTTTCCTTTAGCTTAGTCCCTTATTCATCCGAGATAACCACAGCAGAATGAACCGCCAACAATTCCAGCATGTTTTGCCCCTCCAGCTGCAACCCAATACTGGAAAACACCCATACACTCTCTCATTCCCACACACACACACTCATACATTAGGGCCAAAGTGGTTCAGCAATTCCCCTATAGCGCATGCGTTTGCGGTAGGGGAAACGGGAGCACCCGGAGG